TAGCGAAGTCCTGGAACTGGTCCATCCTGGCCAACTTCCCAGTACTAGTGCTCACGAAGGCATTTACCATGTTCTTTAGCGTACTCATCTGATCATCTGGCGCTAGGGCTGCTGCAAGTGGAGGAAATTGTTGTTGTGGCTGCTGGAATGGTTTCCCTTGTCTGGGCTGGTAAGGCTACTACTGCGGAAATGGTCTCTGTCGGGTTTGGAACTGCTGCCTCTGCTGAAAGCCACCTGTCGGCGCTAGAAAGCCAGGAGGTTTGGTGGTGCTGCTGGTGCCACCACTCCATGAGAAATTAGGATGCTGGCACCATCCCTCATTATACGTACCATTGTAGGGATCGAGGCGCCGAGTATTGACAATGAAGTTCAACTACTCCTAAGGGGTGGTGGACTCCCGCATAGCTTGACAATCCTCCACTAGATGATTCGAGCTTTTGCACCACTACACTGGGCTATTGGAGGTTCCGCCATTCCTCTGCATGGTATGAGGCTGCGTCAATGTCTGAAGCAGCTCTACCACTTCTCTTTCAAGCCCTGATCTGGCCTCCATAGCATGCACACCTCTGTCCCTCGAGTTCCTGCCTCTGGTGGTCTGCCCACAGGAATGATTCCTGGCCGCCAAAGTACTGATCATCTAGTTCAATTTTGGTGGATTTTTAGTAAGAATATCTCCACCCGGGCATAAAGACTCAATCAACCTCTGGCTCTTTGGGGATAAGGCACTATAGAAGTTCCCCAAGGTGAATGCGTCACTGAATCCGTGGTGGGGGCACTTCCAGAAGAGTCTAGAATATCGTTCCTAGGCATCTAGTAGTGTCTCATCATCTTTCTGGCAAAAATGAGTGATCTCCCACTGAATCTCCGCAGTCTTCGAGACCAGGTAGTATCGGTGCACGAATTTGTTGGACAGATCATCCCAAGAAGTGACGGATAGTGTCGGCTGAGTCTCTAGCCAACTCTTTGCATGCCCCTCCAGAGAGTGGGGGAAGAGGTGAAGGCGGATCGCGTCATCTGGTACACCATTCAACTTGAACCCATTGGTCAGCTGCAAGAACCGAGAAAGGTGCACCATCGCTTCTTCATCCTTCAGTCCATGAAACTGGATGGAGGATTTTATTAACTAGATACAACATGGCTTGATCTCGAAGTTATTAGCAAGAATGGGTGGATACTGGATGACTGGGTGGATGTCGGCGATCCGTGGAGTGTAGAAGTACTCCATAGTAGGACCCTGCGAAGGTGGTTAATGGTGAGCATCATCTGCTTGGGGGATGTCGTTATTAGCCAGAACTTGATTTGCTGGGGGAATCTGGAGAGGAATCCCCAGAGGTGGATTCTGGCCCAGGTTTAGGTTCATCCTGTTGTGCTCGTCTACCATATCGTCCTCCTGCTCGAAGTCGCTGCTAATATGGCCGTCGACTAGCGCTTCCTGCGTATCCATCCTCGCTCGTTGTGCTTTCCTAAGCTGATGACAAGTGCGTTCAGTTCCGGATCCAATGGTAGTAATGCTCCCGACTGGCTACGGGTCATACACTACCTGCACACAGCTAAGCAAACCAACCCGTGAAGGAAAAAGCGGGAAAAGGTAAACCAAACAATGCGGAAAAGAAAAGCTAAAGTAACATAAATCACGTTTCTTCAACAACCTAGTCGTCCCCGGCAACGGCGCCAAAAACTTGACTCACCTGTACCGTCACACTAGAAAGTGGCCAAGTGCAACCACCTACTAATGCGTAGTATAGCGGGTTTAGCTTTAATTGTCAACTCGGGTCCTAGATGTGATGACTACTCTGTGAACTTCTATTATCTAATGGGACTAAGTGAGTGAAATGATTTCAATGCAAAGGTAATGAAAAGCAAGTAATGTTTGGGTTCTTTTCAAGTGCTAAAGGTCATCCAGGTACGGTTGCCCCTAGTATGCAACTAGTTCAAGTTATAAGTTCACAACTTACTCAGATTGACAAATAAACCGCGAAAAGTTCTTTACTGGTCTGGACTCTTGACTAAAGTTATCCAGACCCTCTTGGGCGGGAGACTAACCTCCACCGGTAATACACTAACCGAGGTTAACCACACTAAACTTCCACTACTGGCTTTTGCTCCAATACAGAGTAGGTGAGTTGACTTCTCGATTAAAGCAGCCGATTGACCACTTTCAATTAAGGGTTGCTCTCTTAACCTATGCAGAGACTATCGTTCTAGGTTAAAGCCGAAATTACACAGGTTTGATAAGGACTCATGCAATTCTGGATAATTCCTCAATTGAATTTATCAAATCAATCATTCACAAATGGGGTTCATACAACCATTCCTAACATACACAACTAGGTTTTTCATACCCAGATGAAAAGGAAAATTACTCCATGGAGAGATGAGAGAATGTAATGATCAGAGGAGATATCGCCAGACCGACAATGGGGATCTGCTCCTGGCGGTCAATTGGTAGTCCGAAGTTGAAGAATCGAGCTTCAAAGACTTCAGATCGCTCCAAATATTTTCCAAAGGTTTCTCCTTGTCACTCTCTCTCTAGGGTTCTTTTTCCGCCTTTAGAACTCAGACAATTCGAATCCTTAACCAATCTCCCGAGATGCCCTTTTATATGCTGAACTCATCAGTAAAACGTTTTCGTCGCGGCGCTCCGTAAACCAAGAGTTACGACATCGTTGAAGAAGTTACAGTCGCCACCGTAACATGAAAGGGAAGCCCGTAACTCTTAGAATACTCCCAGAAGTTATGGTGCCAGAAGTGAGTTACGGTCCAGACCGTAACATCAGAGGTCTGGCCGTAACTTCAAGAGCTCGAATGGAACCTTGTATCTTCTCCTGCAAGGAGTTACGACCACTTGGGATAAGTTACGGTTGCAACCGTAACTCACAAGTCCAGCCCATAACTCTTCTTAGCTCTCTGCCCTTATCGCTCCATCTCGTCCCAAAAACTCACCCCTTCACCCCCGTTCACGTACTAGGACCTGAAACATCATAAACCAACACAACCTAGCGTAAAACGGGCCATGATAACGAGAATACAAGCTCAAACGATCAAGAAATGATGAGAAAAACATGTTCGAATATAGTGTTATTAGTATCTTTGCCACGGTCATATGAGAATTTTGTGTATTCTTTTATTGTTGGGAAAGAAAGTTTATCTTTGGAAGATGTCAAATCTGCTTTACATATTAGAAAAATTCGACATAAGGCATATGGTTCTGGGTTGGAAAATCAGGCATTCGGGTTGGATGCTACGGGTAGTAGGAGACAACAATCAGGTAGTAGAAAGGCGAATATAAATTTGAATTCTGTTAGTTGAAAGGATGATTATATATGTCATTACTATAAGGATAAAGGACATTGGAAATTTGATTGTCCTAAGCTAAAGAAATATTAGGAGAAGAAGGAATCATCTGCTATGGCGGAAGAAACTAACTCTGATTCTGAAGATGGTTTAGCCTTAGCAATGAATGCACATGTACATCATCCGGATGTGTGGTATTTAGGTACTGCAGCTTATTATCATATGTGTCTAAGCAGGGGTTGTTTTCAACTTATGAATAGATAGATGGAGGACATGTTTCTATGACCAATGGTGCTATCTGTAAGATTGTTGGAAGAGGCTCCGTCAGGATAAGGATACATGATGGTTATGTTCGCACATTGAACAGTGTTAGGCATATTCCAGAGATGACTAAGAGTCTGATATCTTTGAGTCTACTCGATGGCAAGGGTTTTAGTTTCGAAGGTGAAGGTGGAGTGTTGACTGTCTATAAAGGTTCTAAGGTGATTCTGAAAGGTGTCAAAGTTGGTGCCTTGTATGGTCTACAAGGTTCTGTTTTGACATATTCCATTGGTGATAAGTGCACCAAGCTGGTTCTGAATGGCAAGTCCCAACATGAATTGGATTTCCCGAATGGTTTGAGTTGTTGACCGCTCTTAGGGGCATTTGGAGACAGAGGAGATTCTGGTACAACTTATTTGGAGGAATTTGGTACGTCTGGCAAATCTTGATTGCATCTAGTTTGGCGATTTGCATTGCATTAGAGTTTGGCGATATGTATCGCGTATGGGCACATCTGGCAACTTTGATTGCGTCTGGTACATCTGGGCTTTGTTCATTTGTCTTGAGAGAGAATTCAAGTCAAGGTGGCGATTGTTAGAATATATATGACTTGAATTTGATTTGGGCTTTGTTCATTTGTTTTGTGTTTTTGGCCTATCTTGTTTGGGTTTGTGTTTGGGATTTGGTTTGGCCTTTTCCATGTAGGTTTGGAAAAAGTGTTTGGTTTTCTGTTTGGGATTAGGAGAAGAGTACTATAAATACTCTCCATCACCCTAATCTGTTGTTAGGTCAATCGGGTTAGTTTGTTTGGTTTGTCCGTTCCGGAATTTGGTTTGTAACTTGTACTCTTCTCAAATTAGTGAAATTAGTTCTCCATTGCTAGTACATTAGCTAGCACATATTGTGTTAGTTAACCATATTAAATTTGTGTTTGTTTGTATTGATCTTCTGTATTATCGATTGCACGCGCTTCTGTTTCGACAAAGATAAATCAAAATCAAATTCCGGTGTTTAATTAAAATAAAATGAAAGTACATCCCTGAAAATAACATTGGCATATAATATATATACAATCCGAAACTATCCAACTTGTCCAATTGTTGGAGCAAAATTTTCCACCACCCTCCAGTTGTTTCCAACTATCACTTTTTGTCCAGTAACGTAAAACCTCACCACCTTATTCTCTTGAGCTAATCTATAAATCCAACTCCCCACCAAGCTTCCTTCTCCACACTCAGACTCAGCTCTTAAACCCACACAACAGAAGACAATATATAGCATCCTTCATCAAATCCAAAACCATGCAGGCAGCAGCCACTCAATTCTTCCCCTCTCCCCAAGAGATCATCGAGCTAGTAACAATCCAACCCTCAATCACCACGTCACCACAACCGCCACGTGACCACCACAGAAGCAACCTCTCACCACCACCAACCACCACCATAATGTTCGTCGACAAAGCCCAACGATCCCTCAAATCCATCCTCACTAACCTCCACGCCGGCTACTTCCGCATCACCCTCTCCCTCGGCGGCCAGGCACTCCTCTGGAACAACCTCTCCCACTCGGCCGCCGGCCACCCGCCGCTCCACCACTCCATCCACGTTATCCTCCTCGTGTTCTGGTCCATTTCGCTCTTCCTCCTCTCCCTCCTCTCCTTGCTCTACACCCTCCGCTGCGCCTTCTACTTCCACACGGTCAAAGCCGAGTTCTCCAACCACGTGGCGGTCAACTACCTCTTCGCCCCCTGGATCTCCTGGCTCCTCCTCCTCCAGTCCGCGCCCTTCTCCTCCCCGCCGCCGCTCTGGTGGCTCTTCGCCGCCCCCGTCGTGGCCCTCGACGTCAAGATCTACGGCCAGTGGTTTACCAAGGGCAGGCGGTTCCTGTCCACCGTCGCCAACCCGACCAGCCAGCTGTCCGTCATCGGGAACCTCGTTGCAGCCCGGGCCGCGGCCGAGATGGGGTGGAAGGAGAGCGCCGTGTGCCTATTCTCGTTGGGTATGGTTCACTACCTTGTGCTGTTCGTGACGCTCTACCAGCGGCTGTCCGGTGGCGCGAGGCTGCCGGCGATGCTCCGGCCGGTTTTCTTCTTGTTCTTCGCCGCGCCGAGCGTGGCCAGCCTGGCTTGGGAATCCATATCGGGGGCTTTTGATACGGCGTCGAAGATGCTCTTCTTTCTCTCGCTCTTCCTCTTCATCTCGTTGGTAAGAAACTAAGACTAAGTATAAGACTCGTCCTAGAAGATATTAAAGCTAGGTTTTTACTTTTAATATAATGAAACAACGACGTTAGGTTAGTATAGTATATATTGTTAGATCGATTTTGTACGTACGTTGGGAATAAGTTTAGAAATTAAGACAAAAGGGCTGGGTCGCGTCGCGTCGCTGGGATTAGTGTATTTATTAATCAAATAATAAAGCTAAGCTTGAGATTTTGGGAGGATCTTTAGGGTTTTTGTCTTTGTGTTAAGTTGCGTGCTTCCATGCAATACTAATTAATGATTTTAAAATATTTTCCCTTCAATTTCTAGGTGTTTATTATTGTTTGTTGAATATGTGATTGGCAACTGAATATAGCTGAAATTTCTACGTAGTCAAAGTGTTGGTCGGAGAGCGCAAATAAATAAATAATATAATTCTATGGTGTCATGATATTTAACCATTAGATCCAAAATATCTCATAGCTGTACTGTATTTTGTACTTCAGTCCTTCTAGACTACTTACTCATAAGGATGTTTCTTGGTAGGCTTTTGCTTAATTAATAGAGAAAAGGTAGGGTAGACCATAGGTAATTAACATAGCTGTCACAGAACATTTAATCTAATTAATAAGTTATTTAGCAAGAAAAAAGCCATTGAGACCCTCTAATTAGTTATTAGGTAACGGGTATGGGAAATAGATAATCGTGGTTTTGTGTAAACTGGCTTGAAATTATAGGATAAGATATGAGCTAAAATAAATAGCCAAAATCGAACAATTATAATATGATCAAATAATTTTTATATAATTGATATATATATATATAGTCAAGCTTACATAAATAATGCAAAAAGATTGTTCAGGAACAATTCATAAAAATGAAACAATTGTTGTTTTAGTAAAACTTAGTAAGTTGTCAAAAAAATACTCATTAAAACTTGTAATTAACCTTCTTCCAACGACTCGAGTTATTGAGACCAACTAATCTGTGATACGATATCAGAATTGGTTTGATTGTAATGTTTTATGTTTAAATCACCACGACCTCCAATATAACCGCCTATTTAAGCACACAACATAATTAATCTACCTCAAATAACTCAAATTATTTGAACCTAACTCATTATAAGCGGGTAAGAAACTAATGTTCGAGTCACTACAATCAACTTTATGACGTAATCCATCCACATAAAAGTTGGTGGTCTCTTCATCCAGCCTTTCTCAGTATCTCATGTGCAAAACATATGAGCCATCAAATAAGCAAGTGTCGGCAAAATCTCCATTGAACATTTTTTTTTTCGTTTCCATACAATTATTAGAATCTAGAACTGCAACATTTCAAGGAAAAAAAATCCCAAGTTACACATGTTTTTAAAAAAAATTCTCAAACATGTGGTGAAGGCAATCACCGTCCTCGTCTGCTGCGGTGAAGGCCCAAACATGCGTAGATTGGAAATTATTTTCATAACGTGTGTATTTTGAGAATTTTTGTTAAAAACATGTGTAACTTGGAATTTTTTCACATTTGAAAGCAAATTTTATGATTTATGGGCTGATTTATTTTGTGGGCCTGTTTTTTATTGTAAGGCAGGTCTGCAGGCCGGCTTTGTTCAAGAGATCCATGAGAAGGTTCAGTGTAGCGTGGTGGGCTTACTCCTTCCCGTTGACTGTCTTAGCACTCGCTTCAACCGAATACGCACGAGAAGTCAAAGGCGGTGTTCCCAACGCGCTCATGTTCGTCCTCTTGTTCGTCTCGGTCGTGGTCTCGCTTGCTCTCTCCGTCTTTACTCTGTTCAACACCAAAATGCTTCTCCCTGACAACGACCCAACCGCCGATCTCCTCAGTCGCCACACACGCGCCTAGGAGAAGTCTCATTGTTGGCTAAGATCGATGAAAGGCTCTACTATATTTATTTATCAGCATGTATAGCGATTAGCGATTATGGTGAGGAAAAGACATTTTAGTTGATTCTTACACACAAGCCTTGTTGTGGCTGATATTGCCAAAACTTGAGGATATAGAGTGCAACGAAATAGTCTTAAATGTGTTTTGTTATTTGAGATGTCTTATGAATTTTTGTGTTCGATTACCGTATTGGTTTATCGTATTAAAAATACATCCAATTCTTCCTCATTTATTTTTTTCGTTGAATAATTCTTCCTCATTTATATTACTCAAGGTTCATGTGTATTATCACTTCATATTTTCAATATCACTCAGGTTCATGTATTATGCTTTGTATAAATACCTGCTTCTCGTTTTATCAATGAGGCAAGTTCTCAACCATTTACAAATCTTTAAATGGTATCAAAGGGTTGATTCAAATGGTCACTCTCTCCCGTTGTCTTGACGACTCAAATTGACAGAGAATGAGGTATCCTTATTAAGCTAGCACTTTCCAAAATATCTCCTTTTATATTGCCAGGCAAAAAAATTCAGTCAAATACTTCGTTATAAAGCAATCTGACTAAATTGACCTAATCAATGACTCGTCAAAAGGATTTCATAAAGTTTCAAGTGATTGTTTTGAAAGGATTACTTCTTGACTTGAACTCCTGATTTTCGGATTAGACTTTTGATGTTTTTCCGTAGAAAATCAAAAGCAGTAGTAAATTGATATTTATCTTTTCTTTACTCTATTCCTTCTAGGCTCACATGATCGTTAAAATAACAAACAAGAAGACGTGTAAAGACTCAGTGGTAGGGTGTTCAAATGGTTATCATGGTTATAACCAAATCAAATAAGGCTAAATTCCATTAATCATGGAATACAATATCATAACCAAACCGTCCAAACTAATACAACAACCAAATTAAGCAAACTAAAGTTTAATCGGTTTGGTTAATTGGTTAACCAGATTAACCAATATAAAATCACATTATCATTGACGATGAAAATTTTCCGGTTAATGCAACAATTCGCAATTTATATAATGAATAAAACATAACAATCAACACGTAGTTATAGTTGACCCTTAACAAAAATACATGCAACTAAGACAATTATCTTACGATTAGTATAGAAGTATTCACCTAACAAAAAATTATGACAATGGTATGGGTTAATGAATTGTTGTGTTTGTGTAAATTGACTTAGTCTCTTAGCAATTATCATAGGCTGGAAATGACCTTCCTTTCAAGTTTTCATTCATCATCATGTATGAAATTTATCTAAATTAGGCGTCCATATGTTGTGGTCTAGACTTTACATATACAAATATACACTATATGAGCAATATTGAGCTTTATATTTTATGAGTCTAAAAGGGATGAACATTAACTCTTGAGTGGTTATGCAAAGTATTATGTGTATATAGTATATGTTAGATATATGACTAATTACTTAACTGATTAATTTGGTTTGAGTGGTTAGGAGTGTCTGAAACCAAACCAAACCACCTAAACCAAACAAGCTAAAAACTTTAACCAAACCAAACCAAACCAATTATCCAAATTAACCAAACCAAATTATCCAAATAGTACCGGTTAAAACGGTTCCCACGGTAACCAAACCGTTTGAACACCCCTACTCAGTGGCAAACTCAGAAGATCGAAACATGAGTCTTTAATATAATATAGACATATAAATTAGTATTTGAAAATTTAAAAGTCAAGTGATTAATGAGTTTTTCTTTTGTAAAAGCATCTCTGAGGTATTTTCGTGCTATGGGAGAATTTTAAGGAACTTTCATTGCATATACTTTTAAGTAAATATTATACAATGTATCCAACTCAATTTATTTTATTGTATATAAATTTATTTGTATTAGATACAAATTTAGTATTCAAATCTCATATAGACATGTGTGAGGATTAATAATTCCCTAATTTTAGGGTTGATTTCGTCATTAACCTTGCTATTCGATGCGATCATGTTATGATGTTAAGGTGCAGCTAGAATTAAATTGACATGCAACTCGCTGGCCATCGTTGAATTAAGTAATGTCGTTGAAGTGGAAGGAACACATATCATTTCGAACAAGTACTATAGTCCAATGGAAACAGCCAAAATCAATAGGGGAATCGGCGGTAGGTGCAGTTCTATTTGAGTAAGAGCACCTTTACTATGCTATATAGTATTGGTGCTTTAATGTACAACTTAAAGTTGTACCATAACATTAAATGTATAAGTTTAGGTTGTACCATAAAGTAATTTGTACCATTATGTTATCGTACAACTTTACAACTTGAAGTTGTACCATAACATAAAGGTACAAGTTCAAGTTGTACCATAAAAGAATTTGTACAAAAAGTATAGGTACAATCTGAAGTTGTACCATAACGTAAATGTACAATTTTAAGTTGTACCATAAAGACAAAATCCTATAGCACCAATACTATATAGCATTGTAAAATTTCTGTTTGAGTAATGCCGTTTAGCCTCTTGGAATTTAAATACAGTAACCATCGATTATGACGTTTTGGCTCTTGGCCTTGGGGCAACAATAAAATGATGGGGTTTGATTGTGACATAGCAACTTCGACTGTAGTCTATGTAGGGTAGGTTGTTTAAGTTTATTAATAGTTAGATTGATACATTGTGATAATGACATTAATTAATTAATATAAAGTGAAATCATGTTTACTGTTCACTAAGGGGTAGGATTGTTACAAGATCGAGCCATCATAGCATTTCATTAATTACTAGGCTTGCGTATCTTTCTTATTAGTTCGTATTAAATAATTAATTGGGATATTATTATTGTTTACTTGTCTTAGTAGGATTGTGATTGTTTTCTATTATGTTTAGGATTTGGTTATCGTTTATTTTGTGGGAGTAGTATTCAAGTTCTAGATAGGAAAAGGTAGAAGCTTCTATGCCTATAAATATGTACTTGTTTCGTTCGTTTAAGGCCATGAAGAAGATTGGAACCCAATTTATGTTTGTTTGCTTTGATTATTTCTTTCGTTCAGTTTAGTAGTTTCATAGTTATTTTGGGTTGTTCTCGCCATTAAGGAGATCCTCTACTCGAGAGCGTCGAGCAACGTATCCAGAAGTCCGGAGAAGAAAAGGTCAAGTACGTAGAATTCCGCCCCGAAGGCGCATCTACGTAACAGTTGGTATTAGAGTCCGGTTCTCCGGCACCGCAAAACCATGATGATTGAATGTATTCAAGCAAGAGAATTGGTCGATGCGTGGAACCGATATGTGGAGTGGTTTTGTCCCAATCTCATTGACTCCATGAGGTTGCCAGAGAAGGAGCCAACCGTACCTAAATCTTCATCACACGTGATATCAGCTGCCGCCGACATCGAACCGCCAATGGAGGAGCTAACTGTAGGTCCAAAATTGTCGCATACATCATCGCCAGTGGCTGCCACACCACAAGAGGAGTTAAGCGTAACTCTGAAGTTATTGCTTACATCATCATTAGTCGCCGTTGCGCCACAGGAAGAGTTATTGTAGCTTCTTCGTCAGTTGTTGCACCACCCGTTGTTCTCGAGCCGCTAGCCGTCACACCACCGTTTGTCGTTGGTGTCCTGACCGTAGTAGTGGAGGAGACAACCACTGTTGAAAATGAGTGAATAGCTTTGAAAGCTATAGAGTCTCAAGTTGGAAAAACTATCACATTGATAGTTTTACTTGGTGAAATGTGTATAAAGATAGGAGCCTCTCTCCTAAGGGCATGCCCCTTGGGGTTACCCACTTTTGTGGAAGAGGGAGGACCTAACAGACCACCACACACGCGCGCCGGCCGACAGGTTGGTTGGTTCACTTGAGACTATATATTTTTTGGAGAAATTCCGAATGAAATTAATTATTAGATAATTAATTATTAATCGGTTATTCGAAGGAATATTCTAAGGATAATCGGTTAAAAGGAATATTCGAAGGATAATCTCGCCAGGAATTATCTTACACATGGGTTTTAATTGAGGAAGTAATTATCTTCCTTAATTAATCCTACTTATTCCCCAAGCAAGAGGGCATATTCCTTGGGGTTCGGCTCCTATAAATAGCCGCCTCCCTAGTCCCTCTAAACACACCACAACGAGCATAAACACAATAGAGAGAGTGTTCAGAGAGCTTGGATTTCCGCACAAAACCGCGAGTATTGAGAGGAGTTGTTTTATCCTGGAGACGATCGGTTGATAGTCTGCCGTGCGCATCGAGGGCAGTGCCGCGAACGTCTTAAAGAAAGCGACCTAATCCGTGACTCAACTCCATATTTGATAACCTCGTGCTTGTTGTTGTTCCGTTCCTAACAGCCACGTCCGTCACAGCGCCCTCAACAACCAGAGAGATAGACCTAGCTCCGCTGCCGTCATGCCAACCCGTCGTGGCCGGGCCGTCAACCGTCGTTACACCAATCATCGAGGGGTTTGGCATAGCTTCAGCGATGGTGTTCCCAGCTACCGAAATCTTACTGGAGGAGATCATAGACAGAACTGTTTGTTCGGCTAAGACCATTCACAAGCTGGGCATGATAAAATCGAAAAGGTGCCCTCAGCGGAAGAGCAACCAGCCGAATGGAAAATCGAGAGCCAGCCACACCAACTCTTGCTTATTCATGCACTCCGGGGTTACTCACTTTGGTGAACTGGAGAATTATGGGACGTTTGATCGATTCAAGTTTGGAGTAAAGATGAAAGAGAAAAGGGAGATGGTGGGAACATCGGGAAACTCTGACGAAAGGCCACAACCGAACAAGAAGAGTCTCAATGATATGTTCCTTCTTCGAAAAAGAGCTCGATACCGCCGTTGCAAAGATTTAGTGACTCGCCACCGTGAGCGCGATCCAATTGTTATCCGGCGATCTAAGGGAGCTCGATTCCAGCTGAGACTACACCGGGATGGCGTACCGAGCGGCTGTCAAATAGCCACCGTCAACAAAATCGCCATCATCATAGCTACCGTGGAGGAGAAAGGTAGTTCGGTCGCGTTTGCCACCACCAAGGGTTCGATTCATGCCACTGCCACAGACGTGTCAATTGAAGCCGCCGCTAGCGTTGTTCTGCCTATACGGGTCGTTAGGGCAAGTTCCACTATCGATCAGCCACCAAAGCAAAGTGTTAGCAAGGCGGCTCCTCTAGAGGATCACGTCGACAAGGCAGGGGAAGGCCACTTTCTTGGGCAATACATTGTGGTGGTCAAGTACGGAGGGTTTCGAAGAATCGTAAGGCCGCGCCAACAACCCCAGCTAGCGATCATGTCGATACTTGTGATACGCCATCGACCATAAAGATCTCGTTCACCACGACAACATAGAGGGTGTCCAAGGGGTTTGCAGCTGCTGCGATCGCTGGGTTCTCTAAGTGGGAAAGTTTTTTGAGAATGAACTTGTCGTCTATGATATTCATGCCCACCAAAAGGTAGTTATTATGTTTGGTGTACGACTGGAAAAAGAAGGAGAAGTTCCATGCACGTCAGCTTATGAACACGAAGAAGGGAGTTTGTTTGTGTTGGATTGGAAAAATAGGTGCATCATGGGTGCATTCGTTAGCGTGACTTTGAGAAGGATGGGACGGGGAAGCTATGAAACCAATGTCGTGGAAGGAGAACCACGAGCATCCACAGGGGGCCGACTGGGAAGCTCGGGTCGATCGGCTGAATCAGTGGCCGCCCATGGTGACGTTATGGAAGACTTTCCAAGGGAGGAGGATTGCACGCGTGGGACGACGTATCGGTTGGAGTTTAGGTCAAGGGACAAAACAACGAGTGTTTCTAGCGTATCCATGGTGTCCTCTCGGCTACCATCGGCAGTGAAATCCTTAATCGAAGACTTAAGGGTGTATAATGACCTGCCGTAGTTTGCAAGTGAAGTATGGCCTCACATGAGTAAACGTGGGTGCGGTGGAAGATTGCATGAAAGAAATGATTTGGAGGAAGGTGATTGGTCCATGTTCATGCACAGGAAGAGAGAGTGGTGCTGCCAAAGTGGAAAGGAGACCTTGATGTGATTAATGCGATAGCATAGGAGGTGACTTTCAAAGATTAGCTTATGGACGTGGAAAGGAAGGATGCGGATAGCCATGGTCTCCACGATGCGAGTTACGTTTTTGGAGCAGAGTCGGTGGAGGCTGGAATCTGGGATGGTATACACTTTGATCCACTACCTGAACGTAATTGGAAGTATCGAAAACGCGTGTGTAGTCACTCTACCCTTATCATAGTCTACCATAAATTACGAGGAAGCTTTTTCTATATCGATCCAGGTTGAAGTAAATGTGATCATTCCAACAACCTTGAGGGCAAGGTCGTGCTTAAGGGGGGAAGAATGTTATGAGATCGAGCCATCGTAGCATTTCATTAATTACTGGGCTTGCGTATCTTTCTTATTAGTTTGTATTAAGTAATTAATTGGGATATTATTATTGTTTACTTGTCTTAGTAGGATTGTGATTGTTTTCCATTATGTTTAGGATTTGGTTATCTTTTTCTTGTGGGAGTAGTATTCAAGTTCTAGATAGGAAAAGGTAGAGTCTTCTATGCCTATAAATATGTACTTGTTTCGTTCGTTTAAGGCCATGAAGAAGATTGGAATCCAATTTATGTTTGTTTGCTTTGATTATTTCTTTCGTTCGGGGCTAAATTACATGTTTGGTCACTCAAATTATATAAATCTTTCATGTTTTCCACCTGAATTTCTTTTCTTTCATTTTCACCACTAACTTTACGATTCGTTTCACGGTTAGTCACTGGCCGTCAGTCAATGTCAAACTCCGTTAATTCCGTCTATTTTTCTATGATGTGACAAATAGAATAGCTGACTGGACCGTTAAAGAATGACATATCAATTTAAAAAAAAATAGAGAAAAATCAGGAGCCATCTTCCCATCCCTCGTCTTCTTTGCCTTCTCAAGGAATCCTCTACAACAAACCAAATTACAAACTACCAGCTGCTACCGTGAAAGATTAAACAGCAGCCAAATAGTGATGTCCTCATTGTCGTTAAAGTTCCAAAGATCTGCAACGACACTCTCCTCAGCTGCACTCAGATGAATCACCGGCTGCCCATCGAGATACAGAATCTGATAGAACTTCATGTAGTTCTCGTACGCCATCAGCTCCTCCGACAGCTTCTGCACCTCCCTCGGCTCCTCCTCCACCACCACCACCACCGGCGTCGCTTTGTTGTTCTCTGACATTGATTTCACTGGTTCTTCTTCCTTGAAGGCTTCCAATTGACACTGCAGCCGTGACCGCGATTGTAACCATTCACATTTCGGTTCAAGTCGTCGGAACCCGACCCAGAATAATTTTCCTCCCCGTCGGAAGCATTGGAAAGATAGGCCCAATCTGGTTGAGGTTTTAGTGAAGCTCGACATTGATTTTCAAGCTCGACCAGCTTTTGTTCAGTTTAGTAGTTTTGTAGTTATTTTGAGGTTGTTCTCGCCATTAAAGAGATCCTTTACTCGAGAGCGTCGAGCAACGTATCCAGAAGTCCAGAGAAAAAAAGGTCCAGTACGTAGAATTCCGTCCCGAAGGCACATCTATGTAACAAGGATACAGTGACTACCCTTAAAGAGGTTTGAGTTTTGACACCCACTTTTCATTGGTCCATTTTTACTCAATCATTTGGTAAGTATTAATGAAAGTTGTAGAATTTAACACTCACATTACATACACATTAGGAATTAAATACCTCATATTAATTACTAGCTTTTACTCGGTCCTTGGTCGAATGAGTTTAGCTTTATTCTTTACGTTGATTCATTTATAATTATATTTAAAATATTTATCCGACCCGTTGGTCGCATGAATTTTATTTTATGTTGATCAATTTATTCATATTTTTAAATAATTTGAGATTTTCTAACATAGTTAATTCATTATTTCAAAGAAATATTTATGGTAGTTGTTGATTATGACATTAGCGATAGTTAGTTAATATGTATTTTTTTATCAACTCGTCCTAGTTTACTGTTGTGTATTTTTATTCCATATCTTAGAAAATTTTTGTTTACTTTTTATTATCGGATATGAATTTAGATTTGGAAGAAAACATATGTTAACTAGAATGGTAGGAATTGAAGGTATATAAAAAAAACTCAAGAGAATAACCAAAAGACTATGGCTAGAAATCTCAAATATGGAAGAACCTGAAAACATAATGCTTATTGTATAAATTACTATAATTTAGTGTATAGGTTTGTTTGAATAATAAGTGGGGGCTATTAAGTGTTAGATACTAATGCACGTACAAAGTTAAGAAAATCCAAATACTATAAAATCTTAAATTCTACTCTACCAATTTGATCTTTGACTTTTTATGTGGAGTTAATAGCATAAATTGTCACTCTATTATCCATATTTCTCAAATATATCCCTCTATTATTTTCCACATCAAACATGCCCTTGTAATATATAGTATATACGTATTATCATATAAAATTTGGCCCCTTTTTATGGCTTATTTTCTCCATCTTCAACTCCCAATAATTAATAGCCACAATCTCATCCTCCATCTGTTCCGCTTTCTCTTCCTTCGAACCAACAATAATTAAACACAAAAACTTGTCGGTCATGAACGAACCTTGAAGACCGACTTTTGAATTTCAACCTGATAGACCGTTAATTACACATGTTTTTACCCCTGTTCTTACACCGTTTGAGATATGATTTCTCGTGTTTTAGGCCGATTTCACGCTAGGTTGTGCTTGTTTGTGATATTTCAGGTCCTAGTACGTGAATGAAGGCTTGGGAGCGAGTTTGGGGTCGATTGGATGAAGATCGGACGCGTGGCGAGGTACAAAGGAGGCCACACGGGCACACCCACAAATCACATGGCCGTGCAGCTCATATTTCTGGCCGTGTGTGTTTTGCCGAGAGCAAACACGGCCAGCCCTGACATTTCACACGGCCGTGTGACAAAGTGCTCTGGCCGTGTGACTTTTGCCGTGAGCAGACACGGGCAGATGGAAATCAAACACGGCCGTGCCATCCTGGCCGTGTGAGAAGCCTGAAGATCGAACTTAAGTGATACGGTGCGTTTTGACTCACACGGGCAACTGGGTATGCCACACGGCTGTGTGACCCTGCCCGTGTGAGTCGGGATTTCCTGGTTTTAACCCAATTCCGGGCTGCAAGAGAGAGAATCGAATTCCTTGAGCAAAAACAGAGTTTTAGAGAGAGAAAGTGCGAAGAACTCACCCTAGAAGCCATCTTGGAGCTGGGTTTCATCAAATCAAGCTTGGAGATCGTCCTAGGAGTGGAAATCATCATCCCGGAGCAGATTTTCCTCATCATTATGAGTATGACTACTCCGATTACTGTTTTCTTTTCTCTCTCTATGGAGTAGAACCTCTCTCTCACTTGGGGATGAAGAACCCTAGTTCTATATGTTAGGGGATTGATTGTAATGACTTGGGATGCTATATTGTTTGATTATAATCGAATGATGCATGTTTATTGAGTCAATTGAAGTCTGATCAACTTTTCCTGATTCCTGCTGCAATCTGAGATAGATAGAATCTGATTAGGTTGCTAGAGTCTCATCATTCGATAGTAGGAGACTGGTTATACGAGAGTTAGCCAGTTTACTGCTTTGTACTGGAATCTAATTCCAGTAGTGAATTTCTGTTCTTACTGCTTCAGCTTTCTATCCCGGTGAAGACTAGTCGTCTGCCGGGTAGTTAGACTGAGAGGGCTTGGTCAGCTTAAGAGATTCCAAGCTACTGCCGGATCTTCCGCAGTCTAATCAACAGTAAATCAACCCAGGGTAAATTGCAATTGAAACCTAACTAAAGAGCTAGGGGGATTCATTCCCGAGTGACTCTTTCCTGCTTAAGAAAACCGTATCAATTCCTGCTTTATTTCTGCTTTAAGTTTAAACAACAATCACTTACTCTAGTTGGCTAGATAACAGAGAATCACTGAGTAAGCAGTAGATCTAGAGCCCGGGTTGATAATATAACTTGCCTGTTACTGCATTCCCGGTCTGCGATTACACTTGGTCGCAGATTGGTGTTGTGTTTTGGCGTGTCAAGTTTTTTGGCGTGTCAAGTTTTGGCTCTCTTAAGAAATGAAAAGAAAATGAAAGAAAAACAAAGAAAAATTGAAAGCAAAGAGAGCCACTACCAAAAATCTGAATAATGCCCAGTAAGTAGTGTTTCTTAGCAGTCTGGCTGGGAAATACTGACATTTATACCTCCTTCGCTCTTGTGCTTTGAGGGTGTATTTGGTATGGATGTGAACCTTAAGTTGCCTGTTTTATCGTGAATGTGCACCCCCACTTAGATT